CCAACCTTCGCCCTCCTATCCATTTCTTGCCAACCTATGCTCCTTCAATATTTCCCCCCTTTGCCATCCTCCCCTTCCTCAATATCTCCCACCCTTGCCAACCTCTCCCCTCCTTGCGAACCTCCCCCTCTACTCAATATCCCCCCCCTGCTGAAATATACCTACCTACCTATGCAAAATTAGTCCTACGCAGCACTCACAGAGCCAGCAGTAGAAGGCTCTCCTCACTTGCCTCCCTCCCTGCCATTTTGCCTGTCATGGCAGGGGAGGGGGGCACCCGATGCGTGGCACGCTGTGTCTCAGTCATGCTGAGAGCCAGGTAGTCATGTGACACCCGGAGCTCCTACACAGACCGCGAGAGACAGGCACTTCCCCTTCATGCACTGTGCGTGCGTTTCCTTGAGGGAGCTGAATGCTGCCTGCATCCGCAGCGGACGCAGGCTGAGCAGGGGGCACAAAAATGCACTGCTCAACATTACAATTGATTGCAAATGATATTTGCGCCTCCAGAGGGTGCCGGTCTTGCAAACCCCATGGTACGCCCTTGACCATAACCAAGTTGTGGTTTTGGCTGAGTTGGAAATTTCTTACTAAATCATATATTAATTTTTTTAAATGCCCAGGGCAAATATCTTGTTAGCCTCGCGGCTAACAGACATGCCTGGCAGGCGGGCGGCGCTGGCAGGCGGGCAGCTGGCGAGGGAGCTCTTCCTCTGAGCGGTCTGCTCAGCTTCCTCGAGCGCTGCAGAGTGAGTCTGGGAGCCGGAATATGACGTCATCTTCCGTCTCTCAGCCTCACTCTGCGGCGGGCGAGGGAGCTGAGCGGACAGCTCAGAGGAAGTGCTCCCTCGCCAGCCGCCCGCCTGCCAGCTCTGCCCCAGCCACTGGACCACCAGGGAGATAGAAAACCCTCCCCCCGCATTCTCAAAGGTAAGGGGGATAGTAAAAAAGTGTTAATGTGAGTGTGTGTGAGTGTGTGTGTGTGTCTGACTGTGTGTCTGTTAGTGAGTGTGTGTCTGTTAGTGTGTGTATGCGTATCTGTCAGTGTGTGTGTGTGTATTTAGAGGGCGGGGGAAGGGTTGAGTGGGGCTGGCGTGGGGGGGGGGGTTGGCAGCACAAAACCAGGATACACCACTGGACTAAGGTCACCATTACTTAATTGTGCTCGGGCCAGTGAGACTGCTAGGCGGATTAGGCAGCCGCTTAGGGAGCACTGACCCGGGGATGCAGTTTTTGTTTTTTTTGACAAATATTTATCACCAAAAAAAATCGATAATACGATAATAAATATATTATCTATCTATCCAGAACATATGCTTTACAATATCTTATAGATAGAAACACAGTAAGTAAATAAAATAAATCAGCAATAAAATGTATAAAGACTTGTGTATCTCAATTATAATCTAATAAATACTATAAAAGAATTAAATATATTTTACAATGAAAATAAAAGTAAAAAATACCTCCATATGTGGGAAGAATTTTTCTTAACCTGGATAATTTATCTAGTTGCCAGACCATTTTATTTATTTGTAGTGATGTCCCGAACGGTTCGCCGCGGACTGCGAACATATGCGGTAAACTTTGACCCTGTACCTCAGTCAGCAGTCACATTCCAGCCAATCAGCAGCAGACCCTCCCTCCCAGACCCTCCCACCTCCTGGACAGCTCACTAAGAATGCAGCTTCACAATGAATGTAAAATGGATGCTGTCCAGGAGGTGGGAGGGTCTGCTGCTGATTGGCTGGAATGTGTCTGCTGACTGTGAGGTACAGGGTCAAAGTTTACCGGATATGTTCGCCGTCCGCGGTGAACCGTTCGGGACATCACTATTTATTTGCTAAAGGGGATTCTAATTGTCAGGATCCTATCCTGACAAGCAAGACCTTTTTGTTCTGTTGATTCTGTTTCTTTAAAACCAAGTTCCTTCACTGATTATGTTTTACCACTAGTAGCCTCCCTTGCCTCTAGTTTGGAAACTCAGCTTATCATCCTCACCTAGCTGGACTAATTAGGTTCCTACAAAAGGTAACACCCAACTCACCTCATTGCCTTTGCCTTTGCATTGAAGTTGTTGACTTGCCTGAAACACTTGAGATCCTGGCTCCTGTGAACTTGTCTTATTTGCTTCAAAACTACTTACTTCTGTAACTGTTCGTACTCCAATTTACCGCTATAACGTCTTATAACTTAGAACTTAGCAGGGCTAACCATACAGATATCTTAGCTAAAATATTGTATAGTCGGTATAGAGTTTCTCTATTTAAAATACATAAATAATTGAGAATACAATAAAAATAGGAGTTGGAAGCAATAACTTTTGTCTTATTAATATAGTTTATTGAATATAAATGAATACATATAGTAATCCATTAATATATCATAAAGCAGAGTATATAAGATTAAATGAATAAATGCTTGCAATATAATTAATATAACATACCCTCCTGATTATACAGGTAATCTCTCAGTATCAGTGGCGTCTCTAGGATTCATTTTTCGGGGGGGCACACGGAGGGCCAGTGACAAAAGTAGGGGGGCACATTTAACCCCGCCCTCGTCGCAGTTTGACCCCGCCCCTGTTGCATGTTAAGCCACGCCCCCGACACAATGTGTTTCGTTTTTTTAATAATACCTGGTGGAGGATTCATTATTTTCCACCAGGGATTATTAAAAAAACAAACACATTATCCTTGATACAGTGCCATAGTTGCCAACATTTGAAAAAAAAATTCCAAGGACATTTTGCAGCACAGCTATCAATTACTGTCTGGGTATAATATCCCCGGACAGTCAGTGCTCTCTGTATAATACAGGGTTGTGTGTATAATAAATTGGGACACTCAGTGCTCCCTGTATAGTGCTGCTCTCTGTATAATACAGGTCTGTTTGTGTATAATATCCCAAGACAGAGAGCAGCACTATACAGGAAGCACTGACTATCCCGGGATATTTTATACACACAGATCTGTATTATACAGATAGCTGAGCATATACCCCAATCTCTAGACTACTAGTACCTGTCAACAGCAGCTCCCAGACGCGTGTAACAGGGCTAAAGTGTGCGGCAGCTCACACAGATTATTCAGCGGTAAAGTGCACTCGCTGGCAGAGCCAAACTGGGAATCCCTGGGAATCCAAAGCAGCCCTGGAAAAAAAACGTATGCCATTCCTACAAGTCAAAAAAAAAAAAAAAATATATATATATATATATTACAGTGAGCACACAAGCTCACTGACATGCGCAAATAGGCTTACTGACAGACAAAACTCTCTGACTCACACACAAGCTTACTACAGACACTCACTTGTATTAACAGAAGGCTCACTACAAAGAAGTTCAGGGACACACACACACACAAGCTCACTAAAGACAAGCTCACTGACACACACATGCTCACTAAATAGAAGCTCACTGACACACACAAGCAGTACCATTTTAACAGAGTTAAGGGCCCCTGGGCAAAGCAATGCACTGGGGCCCTTCCTACACAACAACTCACAGGAATTTTAATTATTGATAGACTGCGGAGTCCATACACACACACAGACTGCCGAGTCCATACACACACACAGACTGCCGAGTCCATACACACACACACACACACAAACTGCTGAGTCCATACACACACAGACTGCTGAGTAAATACACACACACACAGACTGCTGAGTCCATGCACACACACACACAGACT